ACTGACAAGGCTCGACGTTGCTTAAATCGTTGATAGTACGAGGACAGTGTTTGAAAGGGATATTTCCGTAAGCCAGGAAGACGAAGAGGAAGAAGACGAAGAAGACGAATAGAAGTAGTAGTAGTAGTAGCAGTAGCAGAAGCAGCAGCAGCAGCAGAAGAAGAAGAAGAAGAAGAAAAAACATTTCGACCTTATACCTGTATTGTTAATCTAAAGATCGTCACTGTGAAAAATCGTCGCTGAAAAATCGTCACTGTGAAAAATTCTGTGATATTGTAACCGTGCATTCGTTGGATATTGTACATTCCATTTAAATATTCATTGAGCTAATTAAGTTTAGAAAATTAGACGTCCAATTTCTTTTAGAGAATTGGTATTCTTGAAAAGAATCAATAAATTGCATTTTCACCGCATTATAAATTATGCGAGAATTCTAAGGAGAGTGCAGAATTATCGAGAAAAATTCTTGCAACTATAATCTATATCAAAATTGCAAAAAAAAAAAAAATTGTAAAATACGCTGAGTTTTAATACAGAACACAACATACTTTACGAAAACACTGAATAAAAAAAATATACAGAAAAAAAACAAAAAACAATGCACCCCTCTAGACGACATAACACTCTAACCACGAATATTGCCAATGGTACTGGCATATTGAATATGTTTGCACTTGTATGATCTCCGTTGAGAAATAGAAAATATTACTGGAATGATAATTCTCTGAAAACAAAAAAGAAATTTACCGAATTAAGAATCAAGAGAAACTCAAAGAACATTTCTGTATTAGATATTGTATTCTTTACTTATGATTCTAACTACTCTGGAAAATCTTATGCTTACGTTCAGTGACAGCAAAGAATTAAAATGCCAAATTACCTTTCTATCATTATAATGTTGATTTCCCAGGGGAGCACTTTACCAAACCCAACCTAGTTTTAAACGAACGAATGATGTTTCTCGATATTTCCTCTCCAATTTCTAATTTCACCAAAACTTTACCAATTTTTCCGAGTTCGTTGCTGCAAACTACGGATATTCAGTGGGAAAGTCCAAGATAATGTTCATTGCTAAGGTCTCAAATATTACTTGAGCTGTTATTAAATCATTGCAAAAGTTCGAGCCCGATTCAAAAATTCAAAGCAAGATCTTACACACAGGCAAAGCCAAAAAAATATTATTAGTCAAGTCTCCATTGATCTCAACAACTGTCTCCCATCGTTCTATAAGCTTCTTAATACCACTTTCATAAAAATAACCTATTGTCCTCTGTTGGAAGAGGCTTGTGACATGCATAACGACTGACTGACTGACTGACTGATTTTTTGTCGTTTAAATTGTTCCATAATGCACGTAACAAATGAACATTCGAAGGAGATAAGCCAGAGGAATAGGGTGGAAGCTGAAGGTTTATGCTTTCGTTTAAGCATCTGCAGGGTTTATTTTGCAACATGCCGCTTTGTCATAGTGGAAAATGAAACTTTTACAATTCTCCAAAATCGGACGTCTTTCTAGAATAGCGGTATTGAAATTAGTCTTTTGTTCGTAGTACTTCTTTACACTTACTGTTTTGCCTGATGAAAGAATCCCAAAGTGAATCATCTCTCTACAGACTCACCAAATGGATAGCAAAACCTTCATTGGATGCAACAGTGCTTTAGCCACAAGTTCTTCATATTCAAAAGCTTGTTCCCAGTTCTGCTTTTGCCAAACATTATCAGAAACAATTCATTTTTCATCGCCTATGAAAATTATGTCCAGGAACGGCTCATTTTCATGTAACAATAAAGAAATCTCCACAGAAACACGGTTGAACTTGTTCGGTTCTGTGAGAGAATATGGCACCCACGTTTAGAGTTTGGAAACGAACCCAAGTCTCTTAAAATGGCGACGGGAAAGTTGAGATATTGATTTTCAAAATCTTAGCAATCTCCTCCTTCAAAATGTATTTATTGTCCACGATGGCGACAGATCGTCTTCATCAACGTCGGAATGTCGTCCAGAGTCTGCCTGATCGATTAGGCTAAAATTTCCCTGACGAAATACGCCAAACCCATTTTGCACTGTCCGAGGAGCTGGTGCACGATACAAATAATAAATCTTCTGAATGTTTTTGTGTTGTTTGTCGCAGATCCGACGCATGATTCTTTCCAAAATTCATAGAACAGAATATGGCCAAAATGCAAATTTTCTTCCTACATCCTTAAGATATTTATCTGTAGATAAAACTTCAACGTTTAGCAAAGTCTGATTCTTGAAAGTGAACGCTGTAATGTACCAATCTTTGAAGGTAGTTGTTAACGGCTAATCCTCCGAGTCTAAATCAAGGCGTCATCGAAGTCTAGTTTCTCGGTCAAAACCTCTTTCAACTTTATACAAACGATCTACGTAAGAGCATACAACAAATTTTTGTGAATATCTCCGCTTGTGATGGAATGATATACGTGTGCAGGTATAAAACTTCAGATGGCCAGCTAATCTCTCCTCTGACCTAGCTATAAAAGCTCAGTGGGAGTGGAACTGGCTGATCCAATTCGATACCTCGCAAATCATCACCTATAGAACCAGAAGATTTTCCCCAATAGCGATAATCGGATATTTCTTCAGGGAGGATCCGTGCCTTGAATGTCTATTGGGATTTAAATTAAACCCAAACCTCAAGTAAAAACTCGTACATACGAACCAGCACTAAAGATACTGAGAAAATGGAATGTTTCCTGTACCACCCCAGTAAGTTCCTGACTACTCCTTCTATTCTTTAATTCTTAGAAGAACCAGGTAAATCGAGAACTGTTTACATATATGGGTACGAGCTGCCCAGTCTTCCTTTTCCAGACCTGATAGATTCCCAAAGTGTCTGACAGCCTTGCAGGAGATGAATTATTTTCCATCGTAAAAACATATTCCGCAGAGGACACATCGAAAGGCTACGCAGCACTATCATTGTAATACATGGAATGCGCTCAGACGAAATTCCATCCTTAGATACACCAGATATCACATGCACACTGAAGAGAACCACCTTCATTCCCTTTACATTTTCTCCGTAACATGTAAGTTCCTTTCGGGCAGATTCTTTCTACGAACCGCTTCTATTTGGAGACAACTTCCAAGAATACACATCGCAGATCACGACAATCTTAACCTGTTCAATTCTTGGGTTAAATGTTATCTTTGCCTTAATCTATGCCTCTATCTCGAATGGTTCCTTGTGCAAAATGAAGATTTTTGTAAATCAAAACCCCAAAAAATACCATAAAACAGCACTGAAATCCGTGTCAAGCTCACGTCATTTCATATTAACAAGCGAAAATCAGGACCAAACTTTTGCAGTGATCTGATACATGTTAAATAAATCTTTTCGGTAAAAATCCAAAAAATATTCCTATATGTATCTGGCTCTGAACCCGACAAATACAACCGGTTACTTCATCAATAACTCAATTATCAATGACCATAAAACAGGGTGACCCATCTATGTAATAATAGCCTTTGTTCCTTCTTCTTCTTTTAATTCTTCTTCTTCTTCTTCTTCTTCTTCTTCTTCTTCTTCAATATCTAACTCACTATTTTGTATCCAACTATTGTACCGTTTTTTGATTGTCCCTATCATTTGCAATTTGTGGATACAACTCAATCCGTCTCATTTATTCCATGCTCTCTACCTATCAATGTCAGCGTTTTGACACCCATCTAACTAGCTATTTCTTTTCATATCTACCTATCTATATATCTATCTATATATCTATATATCTATATATATATATATATATATATATATATATACAATACCTGCTCATTCGTATTCAAGGATATCCGTCTATTAGGGAACCTAGACAATCACTATTGCAGACGGTCGCTCAGGCACATTTTATGTTTGCTCAACACTAACAGAGACGGCTTGTGGTTTATACTGCAGCTATACCGAGCAGATCTTAGTTACAGCTTCTGGGAAAAGCATGTTATCTAGCGTGATCAACGATTTGAACAAGGCCAGCATGCTCAAGTCTGCGCCCACGATGAATTGTGGCTTCGTTCTAGCACATCTATCGACGGCCTACAAGCCTTGAATCAACCCGTGTTATGTTTTATTATATATATATATATATATATATATATATATATATATATATATATATATATATATATATATATGTGTGTGTGTGTGTGTGTGTTTGTGTGTGTGCATTCCAGCCTCTACATTCTCTATCTATTTTTCAGTTTTAATTTCTATCTATCTCTGTCTATTCATATCTATATATATATCTACATCTACATCTATCTATCTATCTATATATATATATATATATATATATATATATATATATATATATATCACTAACTCATCTATCTATCTATGTCAGTCAGTTCATTTTTTCTATCACTGTCTATTCATATCTATCTATCTATCTATCTGCGTATATAAAAACGGATACATAATCGAGACATAGTTTATTGTCGCACAATTTTATTATTTTATGTTATGGGGTCCACCCCTTTTTCATACAAGTGGACTCGCTCAGTGTGTACTTGTACAGCTGCCAGTGAATACCCGGAAGTGATAGAGTGACAGAGTGAGAGTGTGAGGTAACCGCTTTGTAGGAGTCACAGTTGCGAGCACGTAGACTCAGAAGGAAGTCATACTTCGATACTGAATTTCCCAGACTGTATATATATTATTATTGCTACTAACCGCATTTCTGGATCTACTAACCGTATTACCAATTGTATTATTACGCCAATACATTTATTTGCTATATTTCATTCCTGCGTTTGTCATTCATTTGAGACCGGATTTCATCCCGGAATCCACAACATTTTCTTTTAATCCGAGAAAAAACAACTTAGCGGAAATAGTACTAACAATTTATCATTTAAGCACACACACAGATACACAGGCATGTATTTCTTTCTTTCACCTTTTACCTGATCAAGGTTAGTAAAGGTCAAGCGGGAAATGCAGTTTCAATGAAACGGTTCTCCATTTGTCATATTCTTCATGTCTATCTATCTATCTATCTATCTATCTATCTATCTATCTCAGTCTCTTCATATCTCTCTCTCTCTCTCTCTCTCTCTCTATCTATCTATCTATCCCAGTCTCTTCATATCTATCTATCTATCCCAGTCTCTTCATATCTATCTATCTATCTATCTATCTATCTATCTATCTATCTATCTATCTATCTATCTATCTCAGTCTCTTCATATCTATCTCTCTCTTTATCTATCTATCTATCTATCTATCTTCATCTATCTATCTCTCTCTTTCCCAGTCTCTTCATATCTATCTATCTATCTATCTATCTATCTATCTATCTATCTATCTCAGTCTCTTCATATCTATCTCTCTCTCTCTCTCTCTCTATCTATCTATCTATCTCAGTCTCTTCATATCTCTCTCTCTCTCTCTCTCTCTCTCTCTCATCTATCTATCCCAGTCTCTTCATATCTATCTATCTATCTATCTATCTATCTATCTATCTATCTATCTCCCAGTCTCTTCATATCTATCAATCTATCTATCTATCTATCTATCTATCTATCTCATCTCTTCTATCTATCTCCCTCTCTATCTATCTATCTATCTATCTCCCCTCTTCTATCTGTCTATCTATCTATCTATCTATCTATCTATCTATCTATCTATCTATCCCAGTCTCTTCATATCTATCTATCTATCTATCTATCTATCTATCTATCTATCTATCTATCTATCTATCTCAAACTGTTCCTCGATATCTCCCTAACTGATATATCCTTCTATATGCCTGCTTGTCCTTTATCATATCACCATTAATTCTACAAACTAACGTCTACTGATTATGAAAATTCTTTCGAACATGATATTTTTTTTCTGAGACAGACACAGATCCAGCCGAACGAGCATTATTTTTCGAAGCTGAGAGATCATTCGGCTACATTAAAACAAGAACGAACTTATGAATTTTGACAAAAACGCAAACATACTTTTGAGAAAAAGATACATTCAATTTAGAGACAGCTTTATTCATTTTTCTGTGACACTAACTTCAAAATTTTTCTGAAAAAGAAATAATAATAATAATAATAATAATAATAATAATAATAAATCGAAATAATAAATAATAATAATAAATGAAATCGAAATCTCAGAAATGTGGCACATGGGAATATCAACAATCCCTGTTGTAGTTGGAGCCCTAGGATTGGTTGGAAAAGATTCCATTAGACTAATTGAAGGGATTCCTGGAAGCCCATGCTTCAAAGAAATACAAATAATGTTCTCACAACTACAGCCCACGAAGGGCTTTATGTAAGTACTTTTTACGAAGGGCTTTATCTATGTATTTTTGTGTGTGTGTATGTTTGTCAGTGGAAAGTGTCATGATGCCATTTCTAACATTGGGTCTCTGTGCCAGACCCGGAAAGAAATGTGTACACGCCATAAATCAAAGGAAAAAAAAAATAATAATAATCAATATACAAGGAGGTTGAAATCGAAATCTCAAAAATGTGGCACATGTAAACATCAACAATTCCAGTTGTATTTAGAGCCCTCGGATTCATTGAAAATATCCCAACAGATACATCAAAAGACTTCTGGTAGCCAATGCCTGAATGAAATACCAAAAAATAAGTTCTTACAAGTATATCTTAGGCCTTACGAAGGACTTCATCTATGTCAAATATGTGGGATTTTTGTTCTTTCCAAAACTGTTCCGTGGAAAATATCATTACACCATTTCTAACGTTAGGTCTCTGGTCGGGACTCGAAAAGAAATTAGTACACAATAGACATCAAAGGAAATAATAATAATAATAATAATAATAATAATAATAATAATAATAATAATAATGTATTTCTGCTAGCCAATGTCTTAAAGATATACAAAAAATGTACTCACAAGTGCAGCGCACACTTTACGAAGAGCTTTATCTATTGTAAAATGTCTGTGATCTTTGTATTTTTTTTTTTTTAACAATTGCTCAGTGAAAAATGTCAAGAAGACATTTCTGCCCTTCAGTCTTTGTTTGTGACCCGGAAGAAAATATGTAAAAAACAGCAATCAAAGGAAATACTACTACTACTACTACTACTACTACTACTAATAATAATAATAATAATAATAATAATAATAATACTATAATAATAATAATAATAATATAATACTATAATAATACTAATACTAATACTACTACTACTAATAATAATACTAATACTACTACTACTACTAATAATAATAATAATAATAAGCCAAATCCCGATTTTTACGGACATTTCTCTTAATAATAATTTAAGAATAATTCAGCAGGTGATGCTATTTTTATTCATAATAAGGGGATTTTTTGCGATTGTCTTACTCGGTTTTCTTCGTTCGCAACACTGCCTCTGAAAAATGGCAAATTTGTCGAAGTCGCCAGTATAAAATATTATTGTGAGTTGCCCGGCAGTCTCTCCCTGATTGCACTAAAGAGAAGAATCTATAGTAATACCAATGCCAGCTCAGCCGATATTTGTCGTGGTGGTGGTGGGAGTTGCGTTGTCTGTGTATTGTGGGGGTTGCGGGGCTATGTTTGAACCTATTCTGGATGCAAAGACTCGATTTGCCTGCATTAAACTGGCCTTGTGTCACATTCTGTCAGCGTGTAGCTGAGATCAAAATGTGGTATCTGTTCTGGTCACAATAATCTGATTCTTGTTTTCTTTTGCCTTTTTTCTTTCTTTCTTTTTTTTTTCTTTCTATGCCTCACCGAAACCACGTCATGTCTTTTGGCTTCTTTACACGCGACCTAAAACGGAATAGTCCATTATTTATACGGTATTGCCAGGGCACAGCGGGAAAAACGAACTAACGACAAGCGGAACAAACACAGTTATAATTTATCATTCGTTATCAATTTTCTATTTATTTTAGAAAACAATATCGCAGCATCATTTTTCCGTGGCAATTCGTATATATAAAGAAACCAAATGGAGTTTCTGTTAGTGGAGTTTATTAAAAATAAAATTCTTCGATGTTGCTAGTCTTAATTTTAAATAAATACCCCTTCTATCCCAGCTCTCTCTCTCTCTCTCTCTCTCTCTCTCTCTCTCTCTCAATAGCTATTTCACTCTATCTGTCTCTTTATATCTCCCTTTCTTATCCTTTCTCTCTCTCTCTCTTTTTCTCAGTATATATGTCAGGGGATTAAATTTTATGAACATTCTTACTTGCAAACTCCATGTATCTCTCAAAAAAATGCTCTTAGATAAATAACTAGTATTTTTGAGAGACGAAAATGCGCAGGCGCATATATACATTATGTCTGTTATTATGGAAGATCAGAACATTGCTAATTATTCTTCATCTTCTTTTCGAACTACAACTACCACTTCTTCTGTCTCTTCGTTTTTATTTCGATTTGCTCCTACTTCTCCTCCACCCTCTCCTCTCTTGTTGTTGTTGTTGTTGTTGTTTTTCTTTTTCTTCTTCTTCTTCTTCTTCGTTTTGAACTTCTTTTTCTTCTCATCCTCCTCCCTCTTCTTCGTTTCGGACTTCTTCTTCTTCTTCTTCTTCTTCTTCTTCTTCTTCTTTTCGAAGTTCTCATCTTCCTCCCTCTATCTTCTTTTCGAACTTTTCCTTCTCCTCCTTCGTCGTCTGATCCTCCTCCTCCTTTTCCTTTTTGGTCGTCTTCTCCTTCTCCTCTGCTTTCATTTTCTTTTCGAACTTCATCCACTTCTCATCTTCCTTCTTCTACTTCTTTTCGTATTCTCCTCCCCCACCTCCTACTTCTTATTTTCGAACTTCTTTTTCTCATCCACCTTCTTCTTCTTCTTCTTCTTCTTCTTCTTCTTCTTCTTCTTCTTCTTCTTCTTCATTTCGAATTTCTTCTTCTTTCCGAACTTCTTTTCGAACTTCTTCTCATTTTCCTTCTACTTCGTTTCGAACATCTTCTTCAACTCTTCTCCCCCAATTCTTCTTAATAATAATAATAATAATGAAAAATCTTTCTGTTCACGAAAAAGCAAATTACAGCGACCGTTGCGTTTTGTCTGCAAAGTATAAAAATGTTTAAAGAGACCGACTTAGTGCAAGAGTTGGCTCGCAAAACAATGGCATTAAATACCTCTCCATAAAATTTACCAACGTCTGATTTCGCATATCTCCATGTAAATCTATTCATGTATTCAGTCTATTAAATTTGTAAGTGCTGCACCAGATAGGAAGGTGAGCGATGTACATTTAGTTTTCTAGTTTTCTCTTTGCTTTGAAATAAAAAAAAAAAAATGGAAGGTTCGGTTTTGTTGCTGAAACATTTGATTTTTGTGCGTGTGTTTGCTTTTTCTTTTTTTTCTTTTTTTGACTTTGTGTTTTAAAGAAGGCATCGTAGCAATGTAAAATTAAAATCAATACAGGAAAGAAATAAAAAAATATTCATAGTATACAAATATGCTCAAATACATTGGTAAAACCTGTTTGTACTTATAAAACGCATACCAAGTCTCAAAAGTGGAAGAAGAAAAAAAAATATAAATAGCTTATCTTATTTCGTAACATAGCAACATAGTAAGTAAGCAAATTATGGTAAGTGGCTGCGTCAGTAATTCCATGGACAGGCATAAAATTAAATTAGGTTAAATAAGAGAGAGAACTCAAAAGCTTTAGAACATTATGCAGCTGAATATGGCTCTCCACAGCTTCCCCTTCTTTATTATCAATGGATAGCGATAACTTCTTGGAAAATAAAATCGAATTGTTTCCCGTTGCTTTCTCTGTAATTTTGAATAGTCTTCCACTTAGACATGATGCCAAGCAAGGCTAGAAGGATCATTCTACCTTTCTACTTTTCAAATTCATCGTGAATTCCATTGTAACATGTCAGACTGAATTTTGATTGATTTATTTGTATTTTTATGGTTTATCAATTTTTGGCGTGTTTAAAGAATAGAAAATATTAGATTGTGGGAATTATTCTGGGGATAATAATGATTTTAACTGATACTGTTTGAATTAATTACCGCATAGCTGGGGGAGAATAGATGGATTTCTACTTTTCCCCAGGGTATTTGCGCATAAGTGAATATTACGAACCTAGGTGAATTTAGAAATACGCGCTCCGATTAACAATTCCGAGCCATAATCAATTACACCACTCTCAGACCCAAGCTCACAGCACTTGATATTACCATGCGGTCACTCGTCTAGTTACTGACGATATTCGATTTTGCTTACCTTTGCTAATCGTACGGAAACTGGTGTTGCAATCTGATGTGGCTATAAAGGAATAAATTAGACAGAGAACTCAAAACAAATTAAATGGCCTACAGTTGAATGTGGGTCTAAACAACGTCCGATTTATTATTCGTCTGTAGCCATGATTTCTTGGAAGATATAACCGCTTCCTTCTCCGGAATACTGAATTTAAAGTCATCGTTCTCGTACACTAGGTGGCAACCAAGGCGAGAGAAGAGTCTACATTTCTACTAATTCATATAACTTTCATAGATCTATTTCATTTATATCTGGAACATTACACAGACTTATATATATATATATATATATATATATATATATATATATATATATATATATATATATATATATATATATATGTGTATACATGTTTTGTATGTGTATACATATATATATATATATATATATATATATATATATATATATATGTGTGTGTGTGTGTATATATATATATGTGTGTATATTTATATATACATACATATATATATATATATATATATATATATATATATATATATATATTTTCTTCTTTTCCCTCCTTCTTCTTATTCTCTTTCCTTCTTTACATACTTCTCCTCCTTTT